GATCTCACTGCTAGCTACTACCCATTGACAGTATGGACAATGACCTTCTGGTAATAATATCTTTAAGGTAATAATTCTTATAAGCTAACGTGTCCCCAGTAGATTGGTGTTTTATATCGATTGGTTCACTGATTGACTTTCACATTTAACGTAAGTTTCTTGTTACATTTTATACTACTTGTTAGTAAGTAAACGATGATTGTAGAAATTTCAAACTACTCATATCCTATCTCTTTATTTTTAGAAGGAATGTATGACTTTTCACAGTGATACGTGGCTCCATACTTTGTAGTTGATACTTACCAGTATGCTATTTTGACTTGGTTACAGTTTAGTTAATGATGTCAATGTAACTTAAATTTGTAGTACCTGCGAATGACAGACGAAATACACCTTGATGTGAACTACTTTTAATTTGACTTAAGGGTAAGTGAACATACCTCCTATTGTGGGAATTCAAACATTCAACTGAACTGATTAGTTGGCATTAGAAGAGGAAAAAAATCCCTCACATTGAGATTCTAGACTGCAGATATGCGTTACCTAGGAGTAGAAACGAACTGCTGACTACACTGACTGGTCACCAAAAGAGTAGTCAATTTCGAGTCCTGAGTTCTGACAATAGGGTTGCTAAAATGAGAAACCTACCCTTATGATGTAGCTTTATAGATGCTATTTGGATAGAGGTTATCATTAGAAAGCAGTCCTCAATCCAGAACTCATGCTTATTGACACTCTTCACCAAGGCGTATCCTTGACTATTGATTAATTATTTACACATCTGGAACAAAACACAAAACGCCTTGGTGTCATGTAGCTCAACTAGTTCAGTGGTCCAGCAGACTTCTATCATTTCCATCAGTTAGCATCCACTTGTCAATGGATGCATTTAATTCTGTTCAAAAGAGCAAAACTTGTCGTAGTGAAGTTCCTAATTTCATTACTGATTAACCCTTGTTCCTGTTTGTCAAGACTTCAGATAAATCCTTCTAACCAATAACAAAAAGCAAGATAGTTCCACAGTCACCTGCTTTCTGACTTGTAATATTTAAATGTAACCACGGAGATCTTGTCAGTTAGTTGACCGATCAGAGTGCAAATTCGACTGCATGGTGCTGATTAACACTTAAAATCTGACTACTATTCTCATTATACTACGAAACATGCCCATTGAGTCATACAGAAGAGATAATTCAGTGAAGAAACATTCTCTCTTCTCCACAATATCCTTCTTCTAAAGCTGTACAACAGTATTGATACATATCATAAGCATATAACAGTCTATTATAAAAAAAGGGTATAATTACATCACTAAGCTATCTGGTGCTAAAAAAATGGAATCAAGAAAGCAAAGTAGTTGCGTAATAATCTACTAGACTGTAGAAATAATGAAGAAGGCAAGGAGTTTGACAAGGTAGAAATTGTTAGTAGATAAGAAACACAAATATTGAGTGTTCACTTGATAGATAGGTAGATGTAAAGAAGGTGAAGAATGAGACCGCACAAAGTGCACACTTTCCAAACGTATCTTTGAGCACTACTATCCTGTATGGTTGTCGAGGGGAGAATGTAAATCAATTAACAGTTTAATTCTTAAACATTTCGTCAACTCCGGACATAAAACTCGATCAGTGTCATTTATCGTGTCATATGGAATAGTTCAAAAGGAGTAGACCTTTGACAGTTGTGCATAGTGAAGGCATTGGCAATTCATCATTTCAAGCCTGATCTCTGCATGCAAAAGAAGTATGCTCAATCTGTCATCTTACCATGGTCTTAACACTCTCACAACTTATTTTCGATTTCATTATGGTTAGTTAGTTTATTATTATCATCTTCATTATGACCCTTGTCTCATTCTTCACCTTCTTTATATCCATCCATCTATCTATCTATCAAGTGGACACTCAATATTTGCGTATCTTATCTACCAACAATTTTCATCTTGTCAAACTCCTTGCCTTTCTCGTTATTTCTACTGTCTAATAGATTATCACACAACTACTTTACATTCTTGATTCCAGTTTGTTTTAGCACTAGGTGGCTTAGTGATGTAATTATACCCTATTGTTTTATAATAGACTGTTATATGTTTATGATGTATTGATATATAAATACGATTGTACAGTTTTAGAAGAAGGATATCGTTGAAAAAGAAAATTTTCTTCGCTGAATTATTTTCATTATAATCTAAGGATTACCTCTTGTTATCAGTATACCTTGTCAAAATATTTATAAAAGTATGAAAAACTCATCAAATCATATTAAAAAAGGAGACAGAAATAAAAGGGGACAGGAAATTATAGTTCTACTACTTCTTACTATTTATTAACATACTTGTTATTCTTCGTTGTTTGTTTTGTTGGTGCTGTTTATAGGCTTCTATGCGGATGCCTCAATATTGCCTAAATGTTAATTATGATATTTTGCTTGGTTGTGGCTAACAGAAGAATCGAAGATGCGCGTTTCATCCTATTTAGGACTCGTCAGCTAGATGTATCTACACTCCAGTGATGTTGTTCCCAATGAGACTCGAGTCTCAAATAGGACAAAATGCGCGCTTCCTGGATTCTTCTATTAGCTACAACTAACCAAATTATACTACTTTTTATTGATTGAAATCAAACAGTCAAGGCAACATATTTATAACTTTGAGTAATAATTGGAAATGAATTTATTGACTTTTAACTCTTATAGATAATTGACAATATTTCACAGTTGAAGTGAATTTATGAGTACTCACTTCATAATAAAAATGATACACAATAGTAAGTTGTGTAAATGGATAACCTATAGAATTCTGTAAATCAATTAAGTCATGTTAATAAAAGACAATTATCTTGATAGATAGTGAATCATTTAACCCTAATCTTAATTTTGTTTTTTTTTTTTCAAACTATTTTATACACCTGAAAGTATTTTCTCTGATACAGATACAACATTTTTATGAATGATGCCAAGACATGGCTATTGATACATCTGTTTACTTAAGGAATAGTTGATAAGTGTTCATGTACAATAACATTTATTCGCATGATGACCTATATGTTGGCTAGTAAATAAATATCTTTATTCTCAAATTGTTATTCATCGTAGACTGACATCATTTGGAGGAACAAAGGAAACCTGGGAGCACTGGACAGCTGTTTCATCCTAGTATGAGACTCCTCAGCAGTGCGCACCCACGACCCCGCACCACCGGGGATCGAACCCGCGTCCTTCAGGTTCCGCGGCCAGCGCGTTACCATTGAGCTAGCCACTGGGTCAGAATCTAATGCTCCATATTTCCAACTTCTGTTAGCTTCTGTGCGTACTGCTGAGGAGTCCCATACTAGTCGGACGAAACAGCTGTCCAGTGCTCCCAGGTTTCCTTTGTTCCTCCAACTGATATCAGTCTACGATGAATAACAACATGAAATATCTCCAAATCTCTACAACTCCCTCAAAATTTAAATATCTTTATTCTCAAGTTATGAATTTAACATGAGAGAAGCCAATTTATATGTCTTATCAATTTGATAATTGCAGAAAAACATAAAAGGTTGAATAATACAGAGAGAGGACAGTAAACTCTATCATGATACCAAGTGTTGTCTAAATGTTATGAAAATAGCAGGAAAATATCACTTTACAGTATATATACATCTTTCTGAGTTTAAGTCATTTCTGCTTACAATTCTTTCTTCACATCAAACAACACAATATTCGGTGTTTTGCGTTATCAGTAATCGACATGAATGATCCATCTGCAAAACTCAGTGTTTCGTCAGATAAACGTCTGTTTTAACAGTTATTCTTATGTTCGTAGATCTATTGACCAATAATAACTTACTTCAATAATTTCAGGAATAAGTAAATATCCATACAATCATTTAATCCAGCCGAGAATATATAAGTTCAGGCATTTCTCAATCTTCAAGTGTTACCTTTCCGAGCAATTCAGATTGGTAGTACTGAAATCATTTGTTGTGATGAAAGTAATTAAATACTCGAAGCATCGTCGTTCAACAATGATGAATAATACACATGTGTAAAGCTTCATAGACTTCACATTAAAGTATACAACATTGTCAAGGAGATACATTGACTGTTAATTGACTTCTATTAGATGGATTCAGATAAGACAAAGTACTAGAGAAATCTGTTGTATAGCATTCTTATGAATGTGTTGTCGTTAGGTAAAGTGAACTCTCGGGTTTGATTGTTTATCCAGATTTCTGCTGCATTTGTCACGGACAAGAAATCGGAGACTAGTTATTGTGCTTAATGGTTTCATATGTGGTATTATATAGGGGGTATTGGTAGGGAGGTGAATTGGTTGTGAAGCTGTTCAAAAAACAGGAAGTCGACGGCGAACCAGTTGAATACTTTTAACATCACTTTCCAGTAAGTTGATACTTTTTGATCAAACTAATGCTGAGGACTTTCTCGTCAGGCTGATACTGGAAAGTTTTTCATTAGTAAAGAATCTTTGTGATTGTCTAGGTGTATAGAAGGAATTACATGTAAGTTTGTAATTGGTTATAAAACTATTACTGACAGGTGTTCCTAAGCTCAGATGACTACACAGTACAAACTATATTTAGCTTTTAAAATTTGCCTGAACATCTACCTGAATGGCTTTTATGACACTAACAGAGGAGAAATAAAAGACTGAAAAACCACTTTTGCATTTCTAAGAGCCTCTAAGAGTTATTTGAACAAATTCCTATGGTTCCACGTATCGTATCAGTTAGCATCCCCCCCCCCCACCCAGAAAGACCAACATCTTCAGCGAACAATTGAAAATCTTGAATTTTTTGAAGTTTACTCAAAGTGACCTCTTGATCAGTTTTCGGCATATAAGATGGCGGTATTGATAAAGCTTACACTATTTAGTGTTTGATGGGTTAGTTTAATACTCATGTCTTTGACATCTCTATGCTTTACTCTTATAACTAAAAGTGTTTGCAGCAAGTTAGGCAACAAAGAATGTAACAATTTACTACAAAACAACTCACCTGAGCATCTACACAGGCACCATTATTTAAAAGTAGACTTAGAAGTCCACCATCTCCATCTTCTGCAGCATAATGCAACGGAGTATTTCCAAATGTATCACGTGCATCAATTTGGGCGCCAGCATTTAGCTGAAGGAAACAAAAATTTGTCAAGTTGTAGTGATCTTAGTATACTCTTTACCTTTATCATATGCATCAACCTATCCAATGCGCCGCCGTGATATCCGATTGTCTACTAAGGGTCGAGTGTACTATGCTGCATTCCACCCTCTTCTACTGTATGGCCATGAAACATGGTCGTTAAATGCAGAAGATATGAGAAGGCTTCGAGTGTTTGACCACCGTTGCCTTCTTAGCATAGGCAGTGTTTCATGGTGTCACCACGTGAGTAACACAGAAGTCAGACGTGAAGTTTTCGGGGAGAAAGGTAAGTCAGTTGATGCGGTTGTGAACCTTCATCAACTGAGATGGCTGATTAGGACATATGCTGCGTTTACCTGGCCACCGTCTACCTCGTTGCACAATGTTGGCCGAAGTGGGTAGAGGTTGGAAAAAGGCTTGTGGCGGCAAGACTAAAACATGGTGTCAATGCATGAAGTCGTTAACTGTTGGTTCGAGCCATGTAGGGCGGTGCAGACTAGCCGGTTGGGACAAGAGAAACCAGTGGTTGGAGACTCTAGATGGTATCAATCAGAATGAATATCGTTCGCGCAGATGTATACAGATATTATCCTCATGTTAACCGCTATACATAATCGCATTATTTTCTCATTTCTCCTTGTTTGTCTTCCACTTTGTTGTCTATATGAGATGTGGCAACTTGAACCGTTAGGCAGTAATGCCTGATCGTATGTTGATTTTGGTGATGATGGTCCTATGTGATAAATATCTGCTGTTCGTAAGATTTTGTTCCACCACAGATTTTTATCGGCACAGGTGGTACGTGCACAAGTACTTGTGGACGAGGTGGATTACGTTAACTTCACAGGTTGCATCGTCTAGTGCTTAGTTGTAATGGAAGTCTGACAGTCACATTTGCTGTGAATGGAAAACGCTGTATATTGTATTGTATATCATCTGACGATTGGATACTAAAAACATTTTACAAACCATATCATTGTTGGTCTGGTCTCATTGTTAGGTCGATAGAGCACTGAACCCGAATGTTAAGACCACTGGTTGGAATCCTACCATATTCATGCCTTCCGTTTCAACTTGAATCATCAGATCGTAGTATGAATTATCAGAAGTCTATGTTCGTTTAATATTTCTAGCTCAGTTATAATTGTAGAATCCCCACTCAATCCACCTGTAATGTGTAGATGACATGATCCTGCTAGTTGGAGGCACGGTAAAGATACAGAGCCTCCTGAATGTTTTGAATGCGTTTCTCACTAATCAGATTCGAATTATTTCTTCGTAACCGATCTGTATCGATACCTCACCCGATAATACATGGTGAGGGAGTTGAGCCTTTTTTGTCCACATGCTTGGGAAGGTGGACCAATCGAAAACATTTATGAACAAAATGCTGTAATCGCTTCATATATTCTACTTCCAAGGGTCATGTCTCATAGCTGTACAACAGGACAGAATAAACTGCAGCGCAGTATGCTTGACTTTTCATAGATAGTCAGAGACCTTACCAGTCGGCGCCATAAATGACGGAAGTTGACGAATGCTAGGTAGGCCTAATGTATCTCAGCTGAAAGTCCGTCAGCAAGCAACCCGTTCGGGCTGATGCAACTCCCCAAGTAAGTGAAGTGATTAACATATTCCATCAGCTACTTTATTGTCTATTATTAAACTGTCTACTAGACTACTAAAACACAAACTGACACAACAGAATTTCAATTAAAAAAAGTAACTTTGAAAAATTTGTTATATTGGCCGAAAAATGGGAAAAAAGAGTCTCAGCTAAGTAGCATCGGTCGCTTTATTTTAATTATTTTAGAAAGTATTTTACCCAGAACAGATCGCTTCAAACACCAGAGTGTTATACACTTAGCCAAAAAGTCATAGTAGTAGATGAACTCCAGATAGGCTGAACTGCGTGTCCTGGATGCCACTGCTAGCCACCACCTATCATTACTAGTAACACTGATGTTTATAAACAAGATCATGCAGTACTTTTATTCCTTGAGTATTCTTTAATTCAGTTTGGAGGTTTGTAAGAGATTTATTGATTTCAAGTTAGTATTCATTAACGACTGACATCAGGTGGAGAAACCTTGGGGACCTGAAAGTACTGGACACCTGTTTCATCCTAGTATAGGACTCCTCAGCAGTGGACACCTTTGATCCAGTCCCTCAAGGGATCGAACCCAGAACCTTCAGTTTCCATTGCTAGCAAGTAATCATTGAGCTAATGAATTGAAATCCAGTGGTACACACTTTCACGCTGAGGAGTCCCATACTAAGACGAAACAGTCGTCCATTGCTCCAAGGTTACTACTGTTTCTCCAACTAATGTCAATCCATTATGAATACTAACCTGAAATTATTAAGTCTTTACAAACCTCCGAATTGAGACAATCTAGTGCTCATTGGTGACTTACATCGAAAGGTGTTTCCCGAAGTTTCAATGAGATGGAGGGTGCTGTGTATCTTGAACGAACAGAAGTAGGAAATATAGGCCATTGGGTTCCAATCTAGTGGCTAAGTTGAAACGTACTGGTCTCGGAACCTAAAGGTCATGGGTTCGATCCCTAGCGCGGTGAGTTCATGGGTGTGCACTGGTGAAGAGTCTCGTGCTAAGATGCAACAACTGTTCAGTATTTTTCGACTTATCGCTTTGAGTTCAATTAATGGCAAATCATAGCAAGTCTTCAATGTTCTTTTAGGCAGTTTGATGTTTGTTTATCAGCATTTATGTAATTAAACGTCAACATATTTCATTCTCATATCGTTCTGTTAATCTTTTCTAGTACATTACTGACATAATAATGATGGGCAGTGGCTAGCACCACCGGGATTCAGTATGGTATAAAAACAATTGTACTAAAACTATACCCATCTCACAAGAAGTGGTTATCGTGGCTCGGTGGTGTTGTGGATAACACTCTCGAGTTTGAAGCGATCGCTCCCGAGTCCAAATCCCGGTGGGAACATCACTCACTAGGAAGCAGATACATCCAGCTGACTGGTGAGTCCCAAATAGAACAAAATGCGCATCCTGGATTCCACTGCTAGCCACTGCCCAATATTACTATTACTATACATGGTTAGAAGACAGGGAATATTGAGGCATCCGCATAGGAGCCCATATGCCAATAGAGACTGATCAATTCGGTCCAGTCAACGACGGTGTCATACAAGCAATAACACTAAACATTACTGACATGTTAGTCAGAAATTAGATTAATTTACGCCTAATATAATTGGTCAGTTATTGAATAACCTTCAATTGGTTTTGTTCCCTTATTAGAGGATATGGGAAATAACACTTAAACATGTTTGTTTGACTTTGTTTTCTTCGTATCCAAGTAATTGCTTCATTTCACTGAACAATAATATTTTTTTCATCCAACTATTTACTGTTTTAGTTATCAACGACAGGAAACTATAAATTATGATATGAAACTATGCTCATCGCACAAGAATAGGCAATCATGACTCAGTATCTTATTGGATAACTGTCTGGTGTTCGAATCAGCATCATGCACTGAGATCCAAGTACATCTGGTTGATGAGTCCAAAATAGGACGAAATGTGTATCCTGGATCCTACTGCTAGCCACAACTAAACAAATAAGAAGTAAGCAACTTTACATCCTTTGTATTCTAGCAGTTATTGCTTTTTCTAAAATAAAAGAACCCAAACGACATAAGATTTGATATAACCATGAATTGGATCACGTTAGAATAATTTGCTTAAGTAGATCAAAGGAGAAGTTAACAGGAGGAAAGACAGTGACATTCGTTAGTTGGTTGGAAGCAATCGCCAGGAAGCCCTGAACCTAGGTTTCGTGCTTCTTGGCAGTCGTCAGCAAGGCGTATCTGCAACCTTGACGGAACTGATGTCCCGCCTGAGATTCGAACCCCTCGCCACCACTGAGCTATTCGGGCCACGATTGACTTCCTTTAGGACCGGCTTACATGTATTGATTGGTCACGGGAGTGCAACCAATTTCATGTTGTCTAGTCCAGAGTGCAGACCGAATCCTATCCATCATATTTACAATGTGCCAACTAAGCTAGGAAGCTGAGCATCAAGGTGCACATTAGTAGATGTTAGTTGGTTGTAGGCAATCGGCAGCAAGGCGTATTTGCAACCTTAACGGAACTGATATCCCACCTGAAATTTGAACCAGCGTCACCCAGTGCTGTAGTCAGCGACTTTACCATTCAGCTATTCGCGCCTGGCTTGTTTGCCACATTGCAAACATGATCCATAGGATTCGATGTGCACTCGGGACTAGACAACATGAAATTGGTTGCACTCCAGTGACCAATCAATGCAGTGATATTCAAACTAGAACATGAGTCATCGTAAATAGTTATGAGATGAAAACAGAAAAAACGACAAAGTTCTCAAGGATACAGTATAAATGTATCGCCAGTGTACCCGATCGTGAGCCAATAACCTCCAATTTCACTTGCTTCATTGGCATTAAATATGAAGGTAATGAACCGTCATATGAATGAAACAGATAGTCGGTGACAGCATAAATCGTGAGTGGTTCAGTTTTGTTTTCCAAATTAGTACTGTATAATGACGGGGATGGTGGTGGATTAGTACATGTTAAGAAAAGCCAATGTAAACACCATCTATGAAGGTTAATGACATTATCAACTGATGTGTCTCATTTACTTAATGACTTCATCAAGTCTACTAAGGTTATCACAAATAACTAAATACTGTAAGGTCAATTAAAATTTCATGTCAGACACCTACAATTTAATACAAATCTGTATATGTAAATAAGTATAAATTATCAATCATGTTTATGTCAACCTCTTTTAAACACACAAGAATTTATGTCAATCAGATTAACTTAAAAGAAGAACATACCAACATTTGGAGACAAGATACTTGTTGACGTAGAGCAGCATAATGCACTGGACGACGTTGTAGTGTACACGTAGGTTGATGAACATTTACACCATTCTGTATTAAGTAATGCAGCATTGCTAAATTCCCTTTGTACGCTACTAAGTGTATAGGACATAAGTCTGTGTGATTTCGCTTACGAACCTGCAAAGAAAAAGTGATCAAACATATATACATATCAAAATGGTATTCACAATGGACTGACATTGAAAAACTGGACAACTGTTTCTCCCTAACATGAGACTCCTAGTCAGTGCATACCGTTGACCCCACCATGGATCTGAAGATGCTTGGTACGATCCTTGGCATGATCCTGAGCTTGCTCTGCTGAGGAGTCTCATGAGAGGCAAAAGAGTTGATAAGATTGGATGATGGAAATTAGTCGGCAGAAAGCCCACATTGACACGGGTTTCGCGCTTGTTGTCACTCATCAGGAAGGTGTACCTGGGACCACAAAGTGTTCCCTTAGTGATTTGAACGAAGATTACTTAGTTTTGAAATCAGAGATCTAATTGCTAAGGTGGGTTATGTAGATAATTTGGTCGAAAGCTGGTAACCGATGTAGATATCTAATCCTGATGAAAGTCTATCGATTAAGTTTTGCAATAAAGTCCCGAAGGTAAGTGATATGAGTGAAATTGTTACTCATTGATTTAGGCAGTTTACTCTCAATCAGTGGGTCACAAGTTCGAGCACCGCTTCCCCTACCGAGATTTTGGCAGCCCAATGCTATCATTATCCCCGCGCAATAGGTGTGGCTCATTGCCTATTGAATGGATTTTTCGAGATGTGACAATGAGGTGGACCATTAGATGATAGGAATCAATCAGTGGGAATTCTTGCTTGTTGATAGGCACTTATCAACAAACCGTATCAGATCAGGCTTAAAATAACTGCCTAACATTTTTCAGATGAATGGGGATTTTTAATTTAGAGGTAGTATTCATCATGAACGGACATCAGTTGGGGAACCATTGAAGAGCTGGGAGCACTGGACAGCCGTCTCGTCCAACTAGTATGGAACTCCTCAGCAGTAAGCACCCACGACCCGGCTAGGGATAGAACTCGGATTCTTCAGGTTTCACGGTGAAGGCGTTAACCATTCAGCCAGTGGGTCGGTCTCCAGTGGTTCACAATTTCCAACTTCCGTCAATTCACGATATAGCGTGACTGCCACCCAAGGTCTTCATTTGGCAGCCGCTTTACTTCCGACTGGTTGACCCTACAGGTCACGGCTTCTAATTAGAGCTTCATGATATCCCTCTGGAAGCAAGTCACTAATGAGCACTCACTATACAGTAATGCATTTTTGAGATGAATGGGGTTTTTTTTCATTTAGAGGTAGTATTCATCATGGACTGACATCAGTTTGGGAACCATTGAAAATCTGACGGTAGTGGACAGCTGTTTCGTCCAAGTAGTATAGGACTCCTCGGCAGCTTTCCAGTGCTTACAGATTTTCAATGGTTCCCCAACTGATGTCAGTCCATGATGAATACTACCTCTAGATTAATATTTTATTTAAACACCAGGAAAACAACCTACATTCAGGGTTTAGTGGGATAAATACATACGAATAACAAACAGCAGGTACTGTCGATCAGTGCTTGTTTTTTCTGGATTCAAATGAAAGGATTATATGAGGAGATGGATTGTTGAGCGATAATGCCAACACTTTTAGACATAACTCAGATAAACCACAGATCAGTCAGTTTTATTTTAACAGAAGATTGACTAAAGTTTCTACGTAAACTACAAAATGCAAGAGGGTATTTCAAAATGTTTAAGTAACTATTTACTTGTATTGTGTGCCCAGAAACCAACTCTTCTATTCACTTTCTTTGTTCACCTTTTAAAACAACGATTCTAAGAACTTTACCTACTCCTTCCATCTTTCAGCCTTTATTTGTTTAATATACGAACACTTTTTAAGCAGGTCCGTTTGCACAGCTAATTTGTTACCTGGTTGTAATTAACTATCTAGATTTTTCAAGTTAGTAGTCAACATGATATGACATCAGTTGGAGGAACATTGGAAATCTGAAAGCACTGGACAGCTGTTTTGTCCAAGTTTGGAGACTCCTCAGGAATACGCACCTATGACCCAGCCCATCAGGTATTCAACCTAGGACCTTTAGGTTTCGCCACCATAACGTTACTATTAAACCACTATGTCTGAATCTAGTGGTCCATTTTTCTAACTTTTACCAGTTCACAACATAGTGCGACAATCACCCATTATCATCGTTAAGTATTTGTCCTCATGGACATCAAGTTTGCCCCAGCAATCACAATTTTTTATTGGAACTTCAAGAATTCCTTCTCGAAGCTTGTCACCAATGTGCACTAGATCAATTTAATTTGAAGACTGTGGGGATTTATTATCTTAATCACAGTTACTTATGTAATTAGCGAGAATCCTAGAAGAATTGCAACTTCACAAAAATTGTATCAATAATGTCTATCAATAAAAATCCATATCTTAGGGGTTACAGACATCTTAGTAGATTTTCAGCGCCAGTTCTGCCTGAATCATTGCAGAATTATTCAATATAATCTCAGCGTCTTCAGAATTTCAAGATATACTGGTATTCTAGTAAATAATAAGTAGTCTAATAAATCTTCAATAGCAAATTCAGACACTAATTATATTTAGTTGAAATAGAGTTACAACGTTGTAACCATCTTGGTGACTAACAGTGAAATCCAGTACGCATGTTTCATCGCATTTAGGACTTGTCAGCTGGACGCACATACACCCATATGAGTGATACTCTTCCGACTGAGACTCGAAACTTATACGCACCTCTTTAGATGCTAAAGAGTTATCCACTGGGCTACGAGAGCCGCTTCTTGTGCAACGGATGTCGGTTGTTGTTTGGTACTTGTGAGTTCTTGTTGCTGTCCAGAGTCGAATTGCTAGACCTTTGTTGACGGATGGGTGCTGAGTTCGAGTCTCAGTGAGAACAACATTACTCCCTAGGATGTTGGTAAATCCAGCTGGCGAGTCCCAAATAGGACGAAACATGTGTCTTGGATCTCACTTCTAGCCACCAAAATGAATACAACATCATGAATGTCCGGCACCATCGAGATATCCGTGTAGAAGCTCATCTGCCAACAAAGGTCAAGTAATTCAACCTTGTATAGCAACAGGGAATCGCAAGTAACCTTGAAGAATGAACGTAATGAACACAAGTTAATCCATTGAATTCCTTCTTTTGAATCCAAGTTGTAAACTAAACTGTATCATCGCTTAGAGTGAAAACACTTTCAACTGAAGAAAAAACTTAAAATCTTGGGAGCACTATACAGTTGTTTCCTTACAATTTATGCCTACTCTATCTCCTTGGGGGCTCGAACTCTGGACTGTCATATCCTCTGATAAGCGCGTCAACATTCATTCACTGGAGTGAAAACTACTGGTTCACTTTCTACTACATCAATTGGCCTATCTCATAATTCAAGTCTAATGAGGAAATAAGACAAAAAATTATGATTTTTTCAATTTAGCGACCATTCACCCTTATAATCACCACTTTGCTCTAAATAAAAACATGATGGTTCAGTAGACTTCATGCTGACACCAGAAACACTTAAAAAACTTATGTATATATATTTTTTTTCTGGGGAATGACAGAAAGTGAGATGAAACTTTGAACGGCGGTGGGATTCGAACAAGCGACCACTGCGTTTCTGGCCTGCTGCTCAACCGAATGAGCTTCAAGACCCTATTAATAGCCAAGTGCTTATTTCACTTAAGTCACTAAGGGTCTGGCTTGATTATAGTGTGAATTGATGACGCATTTCTATCGTTTCATCGTACTCACACTGGCTGCCTAGTCAGGACTTCTCATCCCAGTCCAAATCTAACTGAATCAGAGAGGGGGAGCAGAATATTGATTATCATTTTGACTATCTGAGATAATCGTGGTTTAGAAGACCAGTACTGGGTAATGACTGAAGGTGAAGTGAAAATTTAGACCACGGTGGGATTCGAACCAGTGACCATCAGGTTTTCGACCTGGTGCTCCATCAGCTGGTTGCTAGTTCGTATCCTACCACAACTCAGATTTTCATTTCGCTTTCAATCATGAATTAGTACCGATACAAGTTTTCCAAATTATGGCTATCTCAGTCAAACTGATGTATATATATATATATATATATATATATATATATATTCATTTTAAACTGTAATCTTAATGTTTCGCTAGCCTCTCACTCTCTCTTCGCATTTAAGGACAAATTATTGATTTGAACTTTAACTGTATTCAAATCAATGCAGTTTACTTTCTGTTTCTCTCTCTCACTCTCTCTCTCACACACACACACTGTATATGTGGATAGATGACCTCAATATTGTTGGAGAAAGAAAGGTGAAAGTAAGATATGCATTTCACATAATGTAATTTCTAGATTGTTTATAATGGATTATGCTATTAGATAATCATTACGGAGACTATAATAAAATAAATCCATGGTGAAATTGTTTTACTGTGGTGTTTTTCAGCACCTTTTCATGTGACCTTAAGTTGCCCATCTTCTTCTCCTAACAATATTATCATTATTATTATCACTATTAACTACGAACATATGTATACTTGAGTAAAACTGAAAGAGATTGAGGTAAATCAAGGTAGAATTCTCCACAACTCCTTCAAAATTCAATAGAATTCAAAACGTCTGCCATCCTAGAACGACCTTCAAGTGGCTTTGAAACAACCAATCAGATGTGAATGTGTGGTTACCAATTTTCCTTTCACATGTAAGAGATTTATAAAATTTTGTAATTTATACTATAAGTAAAATAATGTGAAATTTATAGGAATTTCAAGCTTTTAGGCGTAAAAATGTGAAAATTCTCTGAATGACTTAAAAGCTAAAGTCACAAATTTGAATAAACTTGGATATCGCAGCTAGTAGATTAGGTAAGAAATTTGCATTGCTTATCTTTCCAGTGATATACAGTTCATAGATTAACCCATAAATCAAAAATTATTCAGCCATTAGGTCATATTTGTTCATTGCCGGCTATGACAACAAGACCTACTGGTTAAGTAGTTTCAGTTTTATGTTTGAGTCAGGAATGTTATCCACCTTTTGATCAAATGTCGAGATATAGTGGTAAGAACCATGGTCAG